ACATCCTTAAGCTAGCCGGGGAGAATCTGCGCACTGCAGGTCGTTAGCTCTATTCTCATCCCGCGGCCCAACCAGGACCGATTGATTGAACCCCTAACTAAATACGTCCAGGCCCGGATGGATAGCGTTGGCATAGGTTGCTCTTAGTGTCCTTCCCATTTTTGCCGTGATTTGGTTTAAATGGAACTCCGCCCCTCCAGCTTTCCCACGCCTCTTTCTACCCTTCCTCCCCTCCTCTCGTTCCCATCTTCTCCTTCCCCATCTCTTTCCGCAGTTCGGTAAGAAGTTTGACGAGCTGGAGCCCATGCAACGAATCCAAGTGGGAGGCACCATCGGCGGACGCTCCAGGTAGGAATTGACCATGTTTCTTCAAACGTTGTCATCTTTTTGGACAACGCAGCTTTTATGTGTGCGATGTGTGCGAGTAGTTGCGTCACGAGCGCGACGCGACACGGCGGCGACAGCGTTGATGCCGCCTGGGCGACTCACCCTCGAGAGCTCACCTACAGAGGGCTCCCAACGGCCAGCAGCGGGCAGCAGCTGCCGGCCTTGCGGCATCATCATCATCACCATCATCATCATCATCATCATCAAGTAATGAAAAGAGACCCATACGAGGAAAAAAGTGATGTCGTTGAAGTGTTGTTGTCCCTCTTCAAGAGGGAAGAGATGCGCGATGTTGCCTGTTTTGGGGTCCGGTGTATCTGTTTACTTGTTTTCGGAACACAGCGCTTTCAATGCCACTTACTGACCCGTGGGTCCTGACCCATGCTTGCTTGGCGATTGTGAGATGTGGTGCTATTCTTGCGGTGAGGGTAGAGATATCAGTCATTCGGCACTTGCGTGCTGCTGCCACCACCACCACCACCACCAACAACAACAACAACAACAACAACACGAGGGCAGGCCGCAGTCCAGCCGCCGATTTCCTTACCTGCAGCCCACATAAAGCATAAACACGCCGTCTGGTATCGGCGGATAACCCCCGGGGCCCGCCCCCCCCCACCTTGCTGTGCGTGTTCCTTTCGGCACCGAGGGCGGGGTGTTGCGTCTACCTCCCCCCACCCCACCCCACCCCACCCCACTGGTGCCCGCTGCCCCGCGGCTTCACGACGGGGGGAGGGGTTACAACGCAAAGAATAAAGGTTTTGAATTACCCGACAGTTGGGTCGGGTCTAGGATATGCTTCCGTAGATTGTGGGGTTGTGGGGAGAGGTACAAGGCTCTTGAGCATCTGAGCCCCCTCGTTGCCCCCTGCGTATTATGTAGGTTCCATCGTACGTACGGCCTCTCGCTAACTCTTATCCCATGACATGTTGCTACCGCTACTCCCCCCCCACCGTCATCCGCACGACTTGCTTACATACATCTGTACATACATACACACACACAGGGGAGACGCTGGCGGCGGCGATCATCACGAGCACCTGGACAGAGTGGCTCAGGAGAAGGTACGACATGCACGGTTGTCGTACGTACGGCTGCCTGGCATCCATCCAGCGCCAGGCAGGGTATGGAACGGAGACGTACTGACCTTCCTTCAGGTGTCGACCTCCCGTCTTGTGTGCTCGGCAGGACAGCGGTCTTGTTGCGGGAATCCCGAACATTACCCTTTCTCTTCCTCTTCCATGAAAATCCGAACAACGGTTTTTCTTTGTTTGGAGAGTCCAGGATACCCCCAGCTACTCCCGAGCGCTCTCGAGTACCTGTCTGTGTGCAGTAGCTGCCGCTGCTGCTGCTGCTGCTGCTGCTGCTGCTGCTGCTGCTTGCATGCTCGCCCCTGCTGCTCTCCTCTGTCCTCCTCCTCCATCCAGCCAGCCCACCTAAACGTTACATGTTGTACCCTTCATACAATGTGTGTACACCAGGAAGGGTGCAACCATTCATACAATAATCTCACCGCACCCTCCTTTTCCCCTCCTCGCAATGTGTCGGCCATGTATGTATGTATGTATGTGATGTGACCCGTGGCGGTCTTTTCGCAGTTCGGTAAGAACTTCGAGGAGCTGGAGCCCATGCAGCGAATCCAAGTGGGGGGCACCGTGGGTGGCCAGGTGGGTGCGCGTGTGTGTGTATGTGTGTGTGTGTGTGTGGAGGTGCCCATGAGGAGGGTGATGGGGTGGATTGGGGGGCCCCTTGTTGCTTAGGCGGCTAGGGAGGGGTGATGTGAGCGGGTGAGGTGTGATGTGTGAGCGGATGGTCGTAGAAGGTCAATAATAGTAGGTGCCTTCCTCTCGTTCACCCATCCCCCCCCCCACACACACACACGCGTGTTTTTCGTGTGCACGCGATTTTGTGCCAGGGGTGGCCCCGGGTTTGGGGAGGGGGGAAGGCTGGTGGGTATGAGACAGCAACAGTCGTTGGTGAACCCGGGATATGCGCGCGTGGAGAGGTATGGGGTGAGGGTTTGGGAACGGCGTCCCTCGCGACGGGCCCGGAAGGTCGGAGACGGACGGAGGGGTAGAGGACGCGGGCGGTTGCGACGCGAGGGGTCTTCTTTCTCCAATTCCAAGTACGAAGGGCATCATGTGAAGAATGTGTGTGTGTGTGCGTGCGTACTAGAGCAACCCCTGCCTAGTTAAGGGAGTTAGCTAAACCACTAAACACATCCTCCATACAACCGCGACACGCAGGCTGGCGGTCTGTACACGGGCACCGGTGGGGATGAGTGAGCGAGGGAGACCGGGACGGGCGGATGAGGGCATGGATAGCTGGATGAGGGGCACAGCAGTACTCCCCCCAAACCCCAAACACAGTACTTGGCGGTCACCAGTACTTCGCAGCGGACCCCGCAGCGGTTTCGAGGAGGATGGGGTTCCTGGAGGAGGTCGCTATTGCTAACTAACTGCTAATTAGTTGTGCTGTGTGTACCACAAATAGTTGGGACGTTGCGGTGGCAGGCAGGGATGTGAATGGGGATTGCTTTTTGACGATTATGCGGGGGGAACAGAGGGGGTGCAGAGGGGGAGCGGGGGCGCTGAAACTAGATTGCAGCACATCGCCACCTGATGAATCGTACACCGTCGTACACCGTCCCCCAAAGTCGGGGGAACGGAGGTTTTTCCTCGTGCGGTTGGTGAAACGTTGAGCAGACCTTTGCTTATGGTGGTGGTTGGAGTACGTAAATGGATGTATGTACGTAGGGCCTTATGTTGTAAATTAATTGTCAAAAAATGACGATACTGCTTCGACGAAAAATTAACGATGCTACAGAAAATGAGCCACAAAGAGGGAGCCGGAAGGGTTGGTGAGAGGAGCGAACGAAAGGAAAGGCAAAAAACTAGCGAACGGCAGACTGAGGGCAGGACGAAGGGAGGAATAAACAAAAAGCTCCGAGATGCGTGACATGACAAATCCGAACTGGAGTACGCTAAGGCGGCCGTAACGAACCGGCACAGCTCTTCTTGGCAACTAACCCCTCTGACACAACCCTGACAACAACTGGATTTTCCACGTGCCTTGGGCTTGCAGTTCGTACGGCGTAGTACAGTGTGTTGTAATGGTGGATGGTGCTGTATGGCGTAGAAATGACAAGGTGTTCAATTGGCCCGGAAGCCTCCCACTCTGTAACATCAAAACCAACATCATGCAAATGGGTCGGATCCACCTCTCACTGGGTGCACTGAGACCACCCTGAAGGTGTGGAGCTGCTGTAATTCACTCAGCATGAAGGACAGGTTCTGGTGGTTCGGTTAAACGTTTTTGATATTGCGCTAAAACTTAATTGGGCAGAGGTCCAGGATGTGAGAGAGCTGGTGGGTAAAAGGGGCAGGGGTTGGCCCGAGGCCGTGTTAGTACAGAGTCTGCGGAGGTAGAGTACCTTGACCCTGATATGCTTCGACTTCTTGAAGCGAAGTACGAGTGTAGAAATAGAGGCGAGAGTAGTTACTGACTGCGAATGGGGAACTGCCGTGGTGAGTGGAAGCAGGGCGCATGCATGTTACCACCAAGCAGTGGGTCGCACAGCCGCATTGGCCCCTTTTAACTGCCGTCGTAGTAGTCAAAGTAGTTTGACTACTACCTACCAAGAGGTGTGTCCCGCTGCTGGGACAGTGCACTCTAGTTTTCCCCCCACCCACCCACGCAGGGCAATCCCGGGGATTTTGCCTCAATGCAGCGGTCGCTGGCCTTGGGTGAGGGTCGCCCTTGTCCGGGGCCCCCTCTTTTGCGGTGCAACACAGGTAACTGTCATCGCTATCGGCCACTAATGCAACTTCCACAATGGGTTGGTGCTGTTGGGAGAGGGTAAGGCAACACGGCAGGACTGAGCAAAATATTACGCTGATGGACATCAGGCCTAGTTCTGATGAAAGGGGATGTAATGCCTGTTTTGCCTGCTTGAGGGCCCTTCGCCAACCCCGTGTTTTGCCTGGTTGGGGACAAGGTGGGTTCCAACACCCCTTACGACCCAGGCACACGTCATTTTGTGCCCCCTTGTGGATGGTGTGATTGCCCCCCGGGGTCCTGGCGATGTCCCCCGGATTACACTAAGTAGCAGCGTCAGACGCATCCTAGCATGGTGACATTCCGCATTTCTGGTTGCATCCGACCTTTTCCCTTTTCTCGCCTCACTCGCGTCCATTGTAACAGAGGGCAGCTGGCGGCGACACATCACACAAACACACACACACAGACCCGCACGTTCCAGACCATTCAGACACATCATTACGATGCAGGAGCGTCATTATCTGGATCCTGTTGGGGCGGCTCAGAACGGCTGCGCTGGCAACATAGATGTGATGACGACCATCTCTCGCGGCGCACCTCCCTACGCACGGGATTGAATCCAGGACATCCAGGACATGGGGGGAGGGGGCCGCTAGGGGTAATGCCGCCTAAAAATGATTCATGTTCCTTTATGTCATATGTCAGTGATGCAGTTTTGCGGGTGCTAGAAACAGAATAAAGGACAACAGTAACGACGAGGTTTTCTGTTAGAAATGCGAAACCTGAAAAACGGTCGCAGACATGCACGCCCTGCTTCGTAAGGTGCCGCCCCCCTACACGGCATATACCTTTTTCGCGCAGCGGTCGTCAAAGTAGGCGGCGAAGTAGCCCTTGAGCCCCAGAATGCCTTTTTGCCTGATCAAGCTCGCCAGCAGCTGGCCGTGTGGCTTGGTACCGTCTGATGTCGTACCCGGACGACCAAGCGAGGTACGACAAGTGGCAGATTCGGGGGGACATTCGGGAGCGGATGAGGATTGTGTACGGAGGGGCGGAAAGGGCCGCACATGGACACGGACACGGGCATGTTGGAGCTGAAAGCCCGAGTTGGGTTGGATATGGGGGGCCCCCCGCGGTACTGTTCCGGAGCCGCGGGGGGGGGGGGAGCCGGCGGGTGTGTGGTACGGAGGCCCAACCAACCAGCAGCAGGAGGGGCAGGAAAGGGCGGGAACCCCCCGGCCCCACCTCACCTCACCTAGGCGGCACACGAGGGACCGGTCCTCGTTGTAGCACAACATCATGTCGGCCTCGTCGCCCAATTCCTGCCCGGGAGGCAACGGGGGGAGGGGGCAGGGGTAAGGGATAAGACGAAACACTGGCGTGTGAAGCAGATACCAGAAGTAGACAGAGAGTCCAGGAGAGTAAGACAAATGCTGCATCAGGAATATCTTTACTGACCAGGAGTACTAGTCCTGGCGGCGACGTGGCTAGCTAGGTTGCAAAGCAAAAGTTAGCAGCTGCCCAGTTCCAAAGTCCAAAGAAGGCAGAACGCGAAAAGCGGGAAAAAAACTGCCTAACCGCCAAAATGAAAGGAAAATCTTAAGAAGAACAGGAAAAGAAAGGAAACCGTAGTCGTGGAGTGTCAGAACTAAAGGCGGCAAAGAGGACAAGGTATCGGAATCTGTGATGCGAGTAATCGAAAGTCAGACTGTCAGAAGGCCGCTTGGTGGCGGGATAACTAGCGTTTTCCCAGCCGCAGCTGCAGTGCATATGCATATCCTTTAGGCAGCGGGTAGCGAGACACCCCAGCTACCCATTCACAGCTCTCAAAAGGACAGCAAATCTTTGAGGCACCGCCCATAACGAGTATCTGTGGATAGCGTATTTCAAAAGGATGTTTTTCATGCCTTTTTCATGAACTGATTCGAATCTTTAATCACTAGGTGAAGGGGGAAACGCATAACTTTGCCTAAAAGCGTATCGTGGCGGTGAACGGGGCGGGGCGGGGAGGGGAGGGGGGCGGGATAGACGAACCACGAAAGAGTGAGGTTGCTGCTGCCAGGGGGGGGGAGGGGGGAAGGGAACTGGTGTGGCTGAGGGAGGCGACACACGCGAACCCACGTGTTCCGACGTAACCCGGACGCGGTGGTGAGAGACATGGATGAGCGGGGTCGTGAATGCGGACACGTCTCACACCACACCATCGTGAACGTGTCCCCACCACCCCCTGACACCCCCTGACCACCTGTCCCGCACCTTGCGTGCCGACGCGGACAGGGGGGGGGGCACTTGGATCTTCACTTTAATCGCGGACTGCCGGGTGGCGCGACTGGCGACCAGGGCCAGCATCTGGTCCCTGTCGGCGGGGTTTTGAAAGGTGGCGGCCGGAGTACGACGAGATTTGGAGCCCGTGCCGCCCGCCATCCTCGACATCATATTCCCGAAGTTCGCCTGTACGTTTGTCAGCGACAGGAAGCCACTGTTCAAAACGATGGAGACCAGCAACTCGTGCGGCAGCTGATCCGAGCCGCCCGGGGCGGGGGCAGGGGCGGGGGGAGGAGTGGGGGAGGGGGAGGGGGAAGGACCGGATGCCGCTGCCGCTGCTCCTCGCTTGCATTGGGCCTTATGTTGAGGCCAGTGGGCCGCCTGACATTCCCTGCATGCGGGGGGCCCGGGGCGTCCCGACAGGGGGGGCGTTAGAAGGGTTCAGCGGGTGGGCGCCCGGTCCCCTACATACACTTCCCCCATACACCAGCGCCTCCCCCCCCCCCACAAGCCAACTACATCCCCACAGACAATTCCTTCAAATTACCACCAACCCCCCCTCCCCCCTTCCCTCCCTCCCTCCCGCCCGGCCCCTTACCTACTGCAGTAGCGCACCAGCCCACCACAGCCAGCACAGGCCTTCCTCGCGCCCGACTTGCCGCAGGCAGCGCACACCCGCTCACTCCCTAAAAGTCGGACGCACGAGGTGGTGGTGGCGGTGGTGGGAGGAGGTCAAATATCTCATCATGCCATGTTACGTCATTTCATGTCATTGTCTTATGATACACAAAGTACCGAGTAATCCTGCCTAAAGATATGTTCCGGAACAGGAGCAGCAGCAGCAGCAGCACCAGCAGCAGCAGAGGAGGACGTGGGGATCTCAACAAACGGCACACATCACCCCCCCGCCCACACACGCACAGCTCCCCTCACCACCACCATCACCACCAACCCGTCAGAGGCAGAGGTGTAGGAGTCGTTATCCACGCCCGGACGGGTCACAGCGGCTGATGGATGGGTGCATGTGCAGCGGGATGCACCGTGTTTCTCAACCGCTCATCACCCCCCTCCCCACCTGCCGAGGTGGCATCAACACCAACACCAACACCAACACCAACATCAACACCAACACCAACATCAACACCAACACCAACATCAACATCAACATCAACATCAACATCAACATCAACATCAACATCAACATCAACATCAACATCAACATCAACATCAACATCAACATCAACATCAACATCAACAGTAACATCAACAGTAACATCAGCAACACCACACCACCAACAGCATGGCCCCCAGCTTCCCCCCCCCTCGCCGCCCCCCCAGGCCCCCCACCTGGAGCTTTACTATTGTTCTGGTGGGCGTTGTACAGCAGGGACTGGATCTCCGTGTTGTACCTGAGGGGTGGTTAGAGGAGCGGTTAGAGAAACGGGACAACAGACAGACAGACAGACAGAGCAAAAGCAACCAGGAGGACAGTCAGGCAAAGAACCTCACGCCCCCCCAGGCCTTTTTGGTTTCCGAAACTCCAAGATATCCAAGCACACACACACACACACACACACACACACACACACATACACGCATATACACACACGCGCATTTGGGGATATATGGCTTTAGGCTCTAAACAATTGGAACTGGTCTAGGTGCCCTCGTGGACTGTAATAGTCCGTTACCGCGCCGCCCACCACCACCACCCAGTCGCCCCCCGCTGAACTGCCGACTGCGCCTCCTCCGTTTATTTCTACTCTATCGGGCTCTTGACATTACTCTTCAAAACCAACAGTACTTAACATACACACATACAAATACACAGATACACATACAGGCTTGCAGATACGCGTGTCGACACCGCAAGCCACAGCAGCTCTTACCGTGACACTCCCAGCGCGTCGCACCCATCGTTGTCCTTCAAGTCGGGTTTGGCGCCGTACTTCAACAGCAGCCGTACGGACCGTACCTCCGCAGTCATCGTGGCGCTCACCAAAGGGTACGTGCCATACCTGTTACACAAGGGCACGGTAGTACGGAAGGACGATATGTACGACAATATGGACACGGGAAACAGACGAAGGCAAGGGTACGGCGATGAAAACGTGCAGCCGGTCAGACGTGTGTATGTGTATGTGTGTACGGAAGGCCCATGAACCCCCGGCCTCCCGCACCGGGTCCGTCATTGTCCTTCCCTCACCCCCCCACCTACCTATCCTGTCCGTTCACATCCGCGCCTGCTTCCAGCAACATCTCGGCTAGATCCAGAACCGCGTGGTGGGCTGTGGTGTATGTATGTATGTGTTTTAGGGGGGAGGAAATCACATGCAAAGTGAGTATAACAACTGCCGACAACCCCGGAGTGTTTGGGGGGTGCCCAGGGAACGTGTATGTACGAACGTATGTACGTATGCACGTATGTACGGACGTATGTACGAACGTATGTATGTATGTATGTATGTATGTACGTATGCACGTATGTATGGACGTATGTACGAACGTATGTATGTATGTATGTATGTATGTATGTATGTATGTATGTATGTATGTATGTATGTATGTATGCATATATGTATGGACCTATGGACGTACGTACGTATGTATGTACACCTCATCACTACACCCCTTCCTCCCGCGCACAGATGATCCCCCCCATCACACCCGTGGCGTGGTGCAGTGCCGTCCACCCCGCTGCGTCCCGCGCGTCCACCCGGGCCCCCGCCTCGATCAGCCGCCGCAGCACTTTGGAGTGCTCCGTGCCGCGGTCCGAATCGGAGTCCATGCGCTGCACAGGAACGGCGGGAAGGGGGGGAGTACAACTAACCACAAGCGAGTGAAGGTGATGGCAAGGAATGGAGAGAAGCGGGGGCGAGGGGGCGGGGGGGCGGGGGGGGGGGGGAGGTGTAGGGCTGGCATTACGGGGCGCCTGGCGTAGTGTCGTGTGGGGGGGGAGAGAGGGGAAAGGCGAACCACGTGAACGATTGAAGCTGCTGCCAGGGCAAGAGTGTACCAGACGTAGAACTGACCAAAAGGCGGTCTTGAAGTTAGGGGGGTTAGGGGGCCGGGACGCGGCGAGGCCCGAGCTGGTGTGGAGTAGGCGGACTGCCATCGCGCATGATCGAGCCGCTGATTGGCCCTGCCCAAATTCCAGGTCCTTAAATCCAGGTCCCCCCAGAACTCGCACTCCAAGCCCCCTCCCCTTCCCCACCCCCACCCCCCTCCCCTCCCCTCCCCTCCCCTCCCCTCCCCCCTCCCCACCCCTACCCCCACCCCGCGCGGGTCCGCCGACTGCCCCCGTATCCGCTGCGCCCCCGCCACCACCACGATTGTGAGCGGCATTCGGGCCTCCAAGGCCCGCAGCTGCAGGTGCTCCGGACGGAAGTGCTTCAGGAACTCCCTGGGGGCGAGGAGAAAGGGGGGGGGGAGGGGGAAAAGATGAGCCACGAGCGAGCGAGTGAAGCTGCTGCCAAGGAAAGAGTGCTGCGGCATATGTGCAGGAAACAGAAGTGACCAGTCGGCGGTTGTGAAGAAGCCGTCCTCGGGATGATGTAGAGTGATGACGACAGCGGAAAACTACCTACCTAGCCGCCAAGACTAAAATAAGAGCGGCAAAAGAAGAGCAGTAGAGCCAAGCCGCAAAATAGTAAAGGTGGGTGTAAAGGCGGCGAAAGAGTAATAAAAACTGGCGTGAAGAGAGAAAGGTGGTAACGAGGGACGCGGGAAGGGGGGCCCCGGGGGCCGGGGGGCAGGGGGGGTAAGGGGGTGAAGGGGCAGGGGTCCAGGTCACAAACCCTCTGCCGAACCCGCCCCCCGTGTGCCTCCCGACCCACTTCTCTGCGCCCAGGAATGCGGACATGAAGGCCTTGTTGGGCCAGGGGGAGTGGGGGCCCAGAGATTCGCCCACCTGCCGGGGGTGGGGGGAGGAGGAGGGGGGGAAGGGGAGGGGAAAGAGTGCGGGGGAAATCATATGCGAGAAGTTCGAAAATGAAATGCCAGCGGGAAGGTGTCCAAGAGGGGTCCGACACTGCCCCCAGTGAGTCTGAGTGCGTCCTAAGCGGTGTCATGTGATGTCATCACCGACCCCCCTGGTTCCGGAAGGGGGGGGTAAAGCTCCAACACGTTACCGACACGTTAGCCGCCGTTTGGACTAGGGTTGAAATTGTTGTTGAGGTCCTTGATATCCAGCGTTGCGCAAATGAGGCGTATCTGCTGAAACAAAGAACTGTATCGCTGTAGGGGTTAGGTACTGATGAAAGGATGTCCTAGGAGGCAGCAAAGGCCAAGTCTGGCTACAACTTTGTCACTTACGTCAAACAGTAAGTGGGAGATGTGCCCGGAACCTCAACAACGTAAGAGAACAACGTAAAGCAGCGGTCGCAGCGATGCAGGATGCGTGGTGGGGTACACAAAGCTGCAGACTTACTTACAAACCCCGCACAAGGACAGTAGCCACGAGGACCGAGCAGCAATGATCAAAAGACGTGTGCGAAAGACATGCGAAATAGGGGTAGTTAGTGTGGTGGGAGAAGACGTCCGGGACATGCACGTGTGTGCGTGTGGTATGCCGTGCATCTACCTATAACTGCAAGACTACGTTATAAATTAATAGGGGAAAAGGAAGGAACAGGGAGATTTGAAGGCGAAATGGAAGTACGGAAGTACAGATAGAATGTACAGCAAAGGAGAAGGAAGAAGTGTAAGAAAAATGAAATGCTAAAGTCCTAAGGTTATTTTATTCTAAAGTTGAAGTTTAACTAATTATTAAAGTTTATGACTTCTAAAATTCTTGGGGGATTGGAAGGAAAGGAGAGTCAGAATAGGGGGGAAATTTTGGAAATATATACACAGACAGACAGACAGACAGACAGGAGGGAACGACATTTAAGGGACCCACAGGGGCCGGACCCGGGGGGACTACCAAACTCCGAAACACGACTAGTGCAACCAGTGGGCCAGTGGGCCTTACTCTCTTCCCCTCCCCCAGCCACCCCCACTCACCCGCGCCTGCATGTCTCGCAGCGGGCGGTCGGAGCCGTCGCTAGCGCGGCGGGGGCTCTGGTCCCCGTCATCCTCCTGTACGGCACCAGGAAGGACAGGGCGGTGTGAGCGAGTGGGGGAGATCTGGGCAGGGGAGTGCCCCGTGGTGGGTGTTAAAAGAAGGAGAGGGAGCTGATGGAAGGAATCTAAGAGGTGGAGGTGGAGGTGGTGGTGGTGGTGGTGGTGGTGGAGGTGGTGGTGGTGGTCCACAGCAGCAGCTGCCGACCGACCGAGCGGGAGGGGGGGAAGGGGTGGGAGGAAGCGGCGGCGGGTCCGTTGCGAGAGCGCAGCAGCGATGACGGTGCTGGTTGTGGCTGTGGTGATGGTGGCGGTGGTGGTAATGACGGTGATGCTTTATAAGGGTTGTGGTGGCGGTTATGGTGTTGGAGCGGGGTGGAAGGAGGCGGGGGGAAACTGGAGCCTGCTGGGGGCGTGGGGTTCAGTACTGGGTGATTGGTAGTGCGAGGTAGAGGGCGGGTGAGGGAAGTAGCCTTTGTTGACGGGAGGCTGGTTGGCGGCAGCTTTGTCACAGAGGAAAAAAGGTTGTCGTACTTCGGGATCTCATAACTTTCAATATTTCAAGCAGCCAACAAGAGCTATTTTGATTGGACTCCTGTTGGCTAATTGTATCGAGCCCCTTTACAGATGGCCCTCAACCAGACGCGTGTCCCTTTCGATAACGCCGCGCTGTCGCTCTCCCCCCTCACCCCCTTCTTCCCCCTCCCCTTCCCTCATTCCCCCTCCCCCTCCC